AAAAATTTACAATAAACATTTTTCACTCTGTTCCATTCCTTCTAGGGATTCTCTCAAAAAAAAAAATGTTATTAAATCGTCCCATTCGTTACGTAAAAACTCCTGAAGCCTTTCATTACCATCATTTTTAATAAATCTCTGTTGAGATTAATCTGGATTATACCCTACGAACAGAAATCGTTCAAAAGTATAAATCCGGGAAAAATTATATCCCTCCTGAAGCCTTTCATTATCATCATTTTTTCGGATTCCGTTTAAATTTATTTTGATTATGGTTCAAAATGTGCATTTTTCAATGGAAATTGGTTGTCTCAAAAGCTTAAATTATATAGCAATTATAAATTTTCCTGAATAAATGAATCTCTTCTTTTTTGGAACGTTATTTTCCTAGGCTTATGATATTAATTGCTGCTGTCGCACTTGGAATGGCTATAGGCGTAGCGGTCGCGTTGCGGCTAGCTTTATTTTCAGACTCATGGACAAATAAAAAACGGAAAAACACATGAATTTTCGACGCTTATGCGTTCACGCGTAAGCCGGCACCGGTCTGCGGCAACCGCCAAATTTTTAGCCATTCCAAGTGCGGCTTTAATGATCAAGATTATTAAATTATTCCCATCTGATAACTTGTAACCTAATTATGTTTTTCTCAACCAGCGAATTCATATTTTCCCTACAGTACCCATCCTCACCCTTCAACCTACCGTAACCTAACTTTCCTCCAAGAACCCATCAAGCCGTGTCCGGTAAAAGAAAAAAAAAGTCTATGACTTCTTTTTCTTTTTTTTCCTGGTTCTATTGCCCCAATGCATTGTTGCCATTCTCTTCTTTTCTTTTTTCTCAAAAAAGGGATAAGGAGTATTGTGTGCTTTGTCCCTTTTGTTTGTAGGCTTTGTGGGTGTTACGACTGTTCAGAAATCAACTAGAAGAAAAGCAGTTTTGTAGTTTAATGATTAAAGTGCAAATTACAGAAATTTGTTTGAAATTTTTTATTAATTTTCATTTTACAGAATGTTGTTTGATTTAAAACCTAGCCATTGGTGTAGATTTTCTAAAGAAACTGTACTATTAGAAAAAAATCTTCCAAACCATACCTTAAAAATAAAGTCAGAAATCTATCCTTTTTCTGGCCCCAAAAAAGAAACCCCACTCTCCCACCATTCACCATGTGATTCTCGAGAGCAACAAACCCAAATTCCAAGCTTTTCCTCTATTTTTTCGCTTCTTCGTTTGAAAAAACCGGAAAATGTTTTTCCAGTTGCGAACCTAATCATATTTTTTTCAAGGCCGGATTAAATTTGGAAAGATTTTTGGGTATTTTTGAAAGAAAGGCAAAAAAACTTGTTTTTCCTGGCTAAAAAAATAATATTTTTTTATTTTTAAGTTTTTGCGAGAGACAAAAAAACAAGTTTCTTGAGATAGGAAATGGTGTCAAAACATTGTTTCGTCGATCTTATTGTTTCCACTTTTTGACATGAAGTTTAATTGATAGTTTTTTTTTATTGCTACATATATCGCAATTTTTTTCATACTGATAATTTGAGAGTACCATGAGAAATCGTTGAAACCTACGAAAATGACCTGAAAATATTTAGAAAAACCACTTTATACGAAATAAATGTAGTCTGTTACCCGAAAAGACTATTACACAAAATTTTCATCTTCTTCGAAATTTTTTAAATCATTGCTAAAACTCAGAAGCATTTCGAACTCAGAAGCATTTCGAAAAACCCTCAGCATTATAATTTTCTGCTTCCTGGGCTCGAATATTTGATTTTTCACAATTTCACCAACGCTTCTAACCACTCTTCCAGGTCTCCAAAAATACGAAAAACTAATCTTGAAAAAAATCTACAAAAACGCCTCCCGGACTCGATCTCCTGACCTTTCTGACTCTAAAAAAGATCTTTAACCACTCCGTTATAACCTTCCAAAATGTCATTTTTCCATGAAACTACCAAACACTTCCCTTAACGTAAGATATGATGGAAAAAGGATACCCCTTCCTAGAAATAATTAAAAATCGCGAACCAGTCCTTTGGATCTGGTGCTTCTGAATCTACCAAGCTTTTAAAAATTCGTAGAATCTCTTAATCTACCATTTGAAAAACTCCCATGACAGTTTCTAAATTTGCTACAGTTTCAAGCTTTCAAACGAGTTAGGAAACTTCTATAACCACTCTACCAGACTTCAATAAGTGCCTCAAGCCAACTTCCAAAGTTCTAACGATCCGAAGTGTTAACTTTAGTGAAAAATTTTTAAGAAATTCTATTCAAATGACCCATGACGATAACCAAAGCTCCTCTCTAAAAGAAAACTCCAAAAAAAATTTCTTTTGCGAAATTCGAATTTCTGACATCTCTAAACTTAGAAAAATCTTCTAGACACTCTCCCCCGATTCCAAAATCCCAAAAATTCAAAGTAATGAGGAAAAACTCGGGAAGGAGAATAACCAAAGCTCTTATTCACGAGAAAATCGTTTAAAGAAAATGTTAGAACTCCAAAAAATCCGCCTAGATTCGACCTCCTGACCTCCCTAACCTCGACCCCAGCTTCCAATCACCCGAAAATTCTTCCAGACAACTTCCAAAGTTCCAACGACCCGACGGGTTAACTTTAGTGGAAAATTTTCAAAAAATAGTCTCTTCCAATGACTCAGGAGAACAACCAAAGCTCTTATTCACGGAAAATCAAAAAAAAAAGTTACAACTCCAAAAAATCCGCCTAGATTCGACCTCCTGACCTCCCTAACCTCGACCCCAGCTTCTAATCACCCGAAAAGTCTTCCAGACAATTTTCAAAGTTCCAACGATCCGAAGTGTTGACTTTAGTGAAAAACTTCCAAGGAAATCTTTTCAAATAACTCAGGAAAATAACCAAAGCTTTCATTTCACAAGAAAACTTTCAAAGAAAAAACGTTGAAACTCCGAAAAATCCGCCTAGATTCACCCCCCTGACCTCCTAACCTCAACCCCAACTTCTAATCACCCGAAAATTCTTCCAGACAACTTCCAAAGTTCCAACGATCCGAAGGGTTCACTTTAGTGGAAAACAAGAAATTGTCTTCAAATGACTCATGACAATAACCAAAGCCTTTATTCACAAGAAAATGCTCCAAGAAGAAAGGTTGAAACTCCAAAAACTCCGCCTAGATTCACCCTCCTGACCTCCTAACCTCAACCTCAACATCTAATCACCCGAAAATTCCTAACATCCAAAGTTCCAACGATCCGAAGCATTAGCGGTAGGGAAGACGGCAAGTCCAGTTAGTGGTGGCTCTAAACTCATTAAAGGCGCCGAGAGCCTTGCTCGGCGAGCCCATCGATTCCCTTTTTGCCGTAGGAAAATGGGGAGGAGGCCGGCAGCTAATCCTCCATTTTGCTGAAGCCAACACCAGCCGAAAAAACTTTTTTTCCTCTTTTTTTCCTCACTTCGCAACAGTAAGTCTTCCACCTTTTTGCTGATTTTCAATCTTTGTCTAAATCTTCAGTCTTACTAACACTTCCCACTTTAATTTTTTCAATCTGAATAAATCCAAATTATTCAAAACTTAATTTGTGTTCATTTTCATTCAAATTCACACCAAAAGAAGTTCCCAAGGGCAGAATTCTTGTTTTTCTGGCTTCTGAAATCGATGAAAGACTGATTTCTTCTCTTCACCAAGCGTCTCGTAAACAAGCTCCATTCGTATGGAAGTGAAAAATGTGTTTGCCGTTTTGAGGTTTTCACGGATTCTTCAGCAGAAAAAAGACTAAATGGGACCGAAAAGGATAAATTTATAAATTAGGCTGCATTTTTTTAAAATTTTTTTATTGAAATTAAAAAAAGTTTGTGGAAAAAAACCTGTAAATTAATCAAGAAAAACCATGCTTCACGGAGGTTGTAGATTTCATTTTCATTGCTTTTTCTCTCGATTCCATTTAAGATCATTACAAAAATACCAGAAGCTCAACTGAGTGGAAAAAAAAAAATCGAAAATGCCTCAAAAAATTAATGTTCAAGTTAATATGTTCCTCATTATTTTCAAACCATGGTTAAGCTTTCATCGTTTAATCTCACATTTTGATTTTGATGCTCATGGCCGCATTTTGAATATCTCGTCGCATAAAGAACACAAAAAAATTTGCAACCGACATAAAACGACTCGCGCACTTGGTCACCGAAAATCACTGTATGAAGCTACCAAACCGCAACGCTTTGAGACACGGCTTTTTTTTAATAGTATTTAATTTTCCTTTGTTCTTGAAACCATACCAGTCATTCCATATCAGTCATCAACCCTTTCAAGCTCGTGAAAAAAATTCCCATTCTCAAGAAAAAAAGTCCCTGATGATTAATTCATAAAATTGCTTCAATTTCATGCTTTTTCTGCGTTTTCAATCCGAAATTTTCTTTTTGTATTCAATCTTTCGAATTTCAGGAAGAAAAAAACCAGGGCCTCTGCCTCCAAATTTTGATGTGATTACCATCAACCGGCAACGCTTGGCGTTCGAAAAAAATCATCGTAAACTGTGAGTTTTTTTAAGGACAGAGTACAAAGTTTGTTAATTTTTCTGATAATCACCTGAAATTTTACTCATACATCGGCTGGATCCCACCTCAGCCTTTTTTTCTTTTTTGGGGGAAGACCGAACCGGGGTGGGATCCAGCCAACGTATCATATAACTTACTACTAGTAACCTGATTTTTTAGACTTTTTTCCACATCTGTTGCCTTTTAGTACTTTTTTTCAAATTTCCCGCCAAAAGCCGCTTCGCGACCGGAACGCCATATTACGATAGAAGTGCAGATAAATCAAGAATTCGGCAAAATCTACTGAAAAATTTTCGATTGCTTGAAATCAAGTGCTCTGAGGGGAGTCCCAGGAACGTTTCAGCGAAGTCTCAGATCTAAAAAGACGGAAAAACAAAAAAAAGGGAACGAAAAAAACAACATTAGAATCGACCCCAAAAAGTGTAATGAAATGAAATCAATCCCCGAAATTTGTTTACAGACAACGATGGGAGCCAATCTGACGTCGCCGTTGCCTCATCGGCCGCCGACATCGGTTCGTTTCATTTCATTTTCCCTGGGTTCCTCTTCCTCAATTGTTCTTTGAAACGTTCCTCAAGGGGTTCTTGAGAAGAAGAAGGGCAGGAGATGATGTGCTTCGAAAGCTTCTGGGGGCTACAGGGGAGATTTCGCCGGGGAAATTTAAAAAATGTCTGATCAGAGATCTTCGAAATCATTTCATGTGATCAAAAAACAGGGTATAGCCTGTGTATTTCGCCAAACGACATTCCGCTGTGACGCTGCGCGCCTTTGCGAACCTTGGTCGCGCTTTTAATTTTTTTTTTTCTTTTATTAAGGTACTTCACTTTCATGTGCTCCCACAGCAATAACAATCAATTGAAAGACGCTCTGCGAACGCATGCAGCGGAACAGCGGAACGTCGTTCGGTGAAATTTCAAGTCGTGGCACACAGACTATAAATCGAATGAATAGCCAAGACTACTCTTTAAAAATCTTTTAAAATTAATTTTCATAAACAGAGCCTTTGAATACGGAATACTGAAACCGGCAAAAGGTGGAAAGGGAAACTGATAAGCACCCAAAAATGACAATTTTCTCTTCGTCAACTTCAGAAAAAGCCTAAAATACTTCAGAAGCTCCCAAAATTCACAGATTTCAATCTTTTCAAAACCTCTCCCAATTCTTGGAGCCTGTCGAATTGACCTCTCATCCGCATGAAAATTAATCGAGAGAAGTCCAAAAAAAGCTTGATATAATCCCACGAAAATACGCCCACCTTAATGAAATTCGAGCTCATCTCATTCTAATCTTCAATAACTTTGATTAAGACCACGCAAAAAGGGCAAAAGCCTCGAAAATTATGAAAAACAGCTCCTGATTCAAAAAAAATTCATTTCTCAGAAAATTTCATTATAGGGAGATTCGCAAAAGAGGTGAAAAACTTGAAGCTTGGTAGGTTTTCCAAAATGTACTAGAAATATTTAATAACCGGCTGAAAATATTTGAATTACCAAGAAGCTTATCATAGAACAGAGTCTCTACAGAACCTTCAAAAAAATCAGTTTAACGAGAATAAAAAGTCCATAAAAGTGCACAATACCACAGAAATGACAGAAATGATGGTCTATTTTTAGAGGCTTTCCTGGGAAAACAAAACCAAAGAAAGATTCAGAAAAAGTCCTTTTTGGTATTATAAAGCGATTTCTTTTTCTCAAATTTTCTCAAGCTCATGCGGTCAATTCGTGCAAAGGGAAGTCTTCTGGAATTTTCAAGAAACCAATATTTCTTCCGGTAACTTCCAAGGTCTATTCATATCGGTAGACAGTCAAAAACTACGTATCAGGACTTACAAAACACTTCAAAAGGTCCTAAGAAGCTCAAAAAAGCTTTTAAGAAAGTTTTCTGCATTCTAATGGTGATTGAGAGAGAAAGGAAAAAAATTTCCATGAGAAATTGAAAAACTTAAAATATTCTGGAACTTTCGGGAAACTTCCAAAAATTGAAATTTCTTCCGGGGACCTCCAAAGCCTATTATTATCGGCAGACAATCAAGAACCCCTTATTCCAAGTTTTCATTTAACAAATTCTAAAAACTCAAAAAAGTTTTCAAAAAACTTAAATATTGATTTCAAGAGAGAAAAACATGGATTTTGAAAATGTAGTGATTCAAGAGTTCAAAAAAACGGTCAAAACACCAAGAATCAATAGAAAGGTGCTCTCCTCTCTAATCACTCTGATTTCTCTGAACTCTACTGGAATTAATAGCCATTAATAGTGAATTTCCTAGAAAGTACAACGCGTCCATGGCAACGGCTAAGACTACAAATTACCAGGAAAAAGGGGAAAGAAGGAGTTTTGTAGTTCTTTCAGGTGTGCAATCATTTGTTCTCGCCGCCGGACGCGCCAATCTTCGCCCAAAAAAGAGAGTCCGTGTTGATGCAAGGATGGAACTGGAGTAAGAAGAACATCCAGCCGGTCGTCATGAAGAGAACCTTCGGCGGCAAGACTCCTGGTTCGTTTTTTTGTGTTTTTAAAATTTTTTTCCAAAAATTATTACCTTAAAAGCTCGAAAAATCTTCTCAACTTACAGTACTCCAGTACAAAAGCAACTTTGGTATTAATATTTTGGCAATTTTAAAAATTGAAGGTAGAGTGATTTTTAAAATTGAAGTGACCACTATTTTTTGCATTCTTCTAACTCCATCCGACCAAAAAATTCGCAGTTGAAAATTTTTCTAGAACTCACTGAACGATTCATAAAAAACGATCGTTTCATGATTACCGGAAAAGTTCGTGAAAACCGTGCCGCAACTTGCATATCTTATTCCGCGCCCATTTTTCTAAAAGTCAATAATTTCAAGGAGTTTTAAAAATCAATCTGTCCAAGCAAAGTCCACCTGTTCACGCTTCCCATAATCATGTTACTCTTGCAAATCACTAGCCACGCCCACAAAAGTGCGCCTCGATCTTGCCATGATTTATTTTAATATCATTTAAATCTATGTACTTTCCCTTTCCTCAAAATAAACCGGAGAAACTTCTATTATAAACTACCATGCCTCACTTGCAAAAAACTAGCCACGCCCACAAATCTGTGCCTCGATCTTGTCATGAATTATTCATGTACCATTTGAATCTACGTTCTTTCCCTTCCCTCCAACTTATTTCAAAACGCTTCCAAAATAAACTACCACGCCTCAGTTGCAAAAACCACTAGCCACGCCCACAAAACCGTGCGCCAAAGGTTCCAAACTTTTTCCTAGAGTTTTCACAAAAATTTCCTAGCCTGACCTAACTAAGTTTCAACTTTAAATAGACCTTCGACTAAAAAACAATGAAAAAAAAAATTCAGACCAGAAGATGTCATCGCGCTCGACGGACAGCATAACCTCGTTCGCTTCACAGCCGCCAGTCGCCACGGCGATCACGACGGCGTCTCGGAACGATCTACCGTACTCCAAGTTGTCCGTCTCCGTCGACAGCAACCAGAACTACAAAAAGTTTGTTTTTCAAGCTGCAGCTACAAAAAAGGCTTCCGGGGAAGGTGTTGGTAAGGTAACAAGCAGGAAGATGAAGAATAAATTAAAGCTAGAAATTCTTGTGGCTTTTGTAAGGTGTTCAAAATGTGGTTGAAAGGTGAAACATTGAAAATTACGGACAGCCTGCCGGAAGCCTGCCAGAAGCCTGCCGGCAAGCTTCCAGCAGGTTCCTGGCAGGTAAGTAAAAGGTGTAGGGAAGCTGTTTGAAAGACTTTTGACCACCACCTGCTAGACACATTCCAAACGCCTTCTGGGAACAGAAACTTTTCAGGATTTGCCTGAACTGGTAAACTAGGTACTCTTAAGTTCATTTTTTCAAGCCCTTCTGATAGGAAAAAGCTCTACACAGAGTGCAGAAAGTCCAGACATTGGAATTTGAAGAAACTTGGTATATAGGTACTTTCGGACATCCTGAATCCAAGGAAGTGGAAAAAAATGCGCCTTTTTTGGTTCTAGTCGAGTTATGGCGTCTGGTCAGAAAGTATTCAACTTGAAAAAGTTTGAAAAGGTTCAGGACAAGCATCTTAAAATCGAGAATCATTCCTAGAAATTTTTTGAAAAATCTTCAAAGCTTTGGGAATTTTTTTTGAAGTCTATTTGAAACTACAAAAATAAAGAGAATCAAAAAAATAATACTTCATAAAAAAACTTCAGAAGCGATTTTTGAACTAAAACGGAAAAATTAAACGCTAAATAAACAAGAAACAGCGCTTGGGCTATATTTATGGATTTGGCAATTTTCGGGCAACAAAACTTTCTGCAAAAAAAGAGCGAAATCCAATTTTCTCTGCTTTTTTTCTGGGCTCCTTCGTGGTTTTGCTCTTTAGCGGTATCAGAAAAGTCGATGTTCCCCTTGTTTTTAACCTTTTCCTCATCTTTTACTGGCTCTATACGTAGTGTTCGCGCTTGGAATGGCTTAAGCGACGCGGTTGCGATGTGGTTTAACAAAATTGCACAGCAGAATTCAATAGAGACGTCTTTTACAATGCTTTCCGATGCTATAGCGCGCAAGTCGTTCAAGGTCGGGCACAAGTTTCAAAAAACCGCTTGGATCTGTCACGCCTAGAGCCATTCCACGTGCGACCTCATCCCTTTTGATCGGTGCATTTGGGGATCTCTTGTATCATACGAAACACCCAAGTTACCTGCCGCAAAAATACCTATTCAAAGCCTCAAATTACAGGTACGAGCCCGACACTACAGTAATCCCCAACTACTACAGTATTCGGGAAGACTTGCGACGTGAGCTGCGGTTGAACAAGCAAGATTTCGTCAATAACAATCTGATCAGCCCGGATCAGCCTCAAGCCAAGACGCCGTTGAGCCCGACTCATCACAGGTTTTTTTTTCATTTGAAAATTAAATTAGAGGTATAAAATAAAGAAGATGGTCATGAATTCCAAACATGACCCTCATTTTTAGCTTTTTGTGTCTTGAAAACTAGAAAAGTTGACGTTCGCATCTTGAAATCTAGTAAAGAAAAGCTTCATTCGGAACGATATTGAACAGTCTGATGTGTCTGCGCTCTCTTTTCCCTAACGGACCAAGTTTTCAACAAAATTTAGAAAAAATTCCCATTTTCGAAAAATATTTCATTCATGGTTATCTTATTGAATTTTTGGAAAATTTAATTTTCAGCTCTAAAAAAAAGTTCAAAAATTGATACTCATGACCCTTTTAATAATTTTTCATAAACAACGAGCATTTTTTCTAGAAACCTAACCGCCCACTTTCCCACCACAGTCGCCACGACGAAAGAGTTCATCCCGACAGAAACTGAAGCGTCTATTCATGAGGTACAAGTCTTCCATTTTTCTACTCAAAGAATAATTTTTTTGTACGCATCGTACACTGTAATGACCGCAGAGCGTTGTTTCAAACCGTGTAAAATCCATAAAACGACTCAAAATTTACAGTCAGCCCGCCGACGGACGGTCATCCAAGCCTCAACGTCCGAGCTTCTTCGCGGCCTGGGCAGCTTCATCGCCCGCTCTTGTAGCGTTCCCAACTTTGAGCCGGCCCATCTTGTCATGTGGCTTCGGTCTGTCGATAGAGCGCTCTTGCTGCAGGTTGGCGCTTCTAAAAGTACTCACCGTAATTTATATTTTCTCAAAGTTCCATCTTTTCTTTCACCTCCAGCCTTATTTTCTAACATTATCGATTCAATTTCGTTTATACCGAATCCACCGGAACCATTTGAACCCTTGCCATAATTATTAATGATCCAAACTTGCTAATATCCACCTCAGGAGGGGATTCATCACTTCTATTTTTTGAGAATATATTTTACACATCTATAGCCAATCCAACCCGACTTGAAAGCCGAGATGGGCGGCTTGGCAAGAGTGACGCGTTGCGTATGCGACGCGGCTTTTTTGGCGGGAAATTTAAGGTCGAATGGGTGGCTCTAATTTTTTGAATTTTTTTTTTTGATAGTTTTCCGATAATTTTTGATTTTTTATATCGAGAGAATTGCGTTGTAGAAAATTTTTTTTCACATTTAATTGGAAAGTTGCATTTTAACTCTGGTTTCCCGCCAAAAAAGCCGAGTCGCGTACGCAACGCGTTCTATTGACCAATCTACCCATTTACCATTAAAAATCAAAAAAAGGCCTATACTCCTTGTGTAAAGTACCGCTCAAAACTACTCAAGTGAATAATTTTACAAGATTTTTGAACTTATCGAACATTCAAGATCTCATTATTTACAGGGCTGGCAAGACATCGCCTTCATCAACCCGGCCAACCTAGTATTCGTCTTCATGATCGTCCGTGACCTTCTTCCAGGTTAGTACTAACTTTCTGAGCACCCTAATGAGTTGAGCTGGAGAGAATAATACTTTCGGGGATTTTTGATAGAAGAGCTAAAAGCATTTCTCTAGCTTATACTTCTGACATTTTAATGAATCCCTTCATTGCAGACGAAGAAAACGCGATACTTTCCCTCGAAGACCTACACGCTTGGGTGATGACGTGTTTATACGTTTCATATTCCTATATGGGCAATGAGATCTCCTATCCTCTAAAGCCATTTTTAGTCGAATCGGTGAGAAATTACACTGGCCTCGAGAAAAAAAGGAAAAGGAAGATTTAAAGTTTTTGATACGTTAATAACTTGAAGATTGTTTTTAAAATAAAATGAAAGTTCATTTTCTTGAAGAAAAAATCAATTTTAGATGTTAACTCTGTGAAAAACTCATAGCTACTGGTTGTACTCGATGAATTATACCGAGTTGAATTTTTTAAAGGCGCACGGGGACCTTTTGAAACAGTAAAATCATTCTAAATGTATTTAGAAAGAATTTACCTCTTCAAGATCTTCTGTTTACTTCCTAAATCGGTTATAAACGCACTATGTCTTAGAAACGTCTCAAAAAAAAAAATTTTGAAACTCACCAAGTGACAAGGCCTCTATTGAAATTTAAACCCAACGTAAACACTCTAATTTCAGTTCAAAATTAATTTTTCAGGACCGCGACGCGTTCTGGTCGCGCTGCGTTAGCATGGTGACGTCACACAGTGAGCAAATGCTTCGACTGAACTCCTCGTCGACGTTTTTCACTGAGGTCTTCACCGACCTCAAGCGCCACGCCGCGATAACTGATTAGTTTTGTTAAAGTCGTGTCCCGACTTGAAACGGCTTGGAGTCGATAATTGACGGGTATCTAGTCGAATTATCTTTTTTGAATATGCTTAATTTTTTTTCTTGTTTTTTTTTTGTTTCATTTTGGGAAAAGAGGTGAAGGGAGGTCAAACAAAAGTATGTTTTAGTTTTAAGCAAAATTACTTTTGCCTCGGCTTGTTTTTAGCGTCATCGAACACCTCAGTAAAAAATTCACACGTAGAACCCTCTAAAAAGCCACCTATTTATCATCTTCATAGTTCTAAAACTCTCCTGGAGCCTCAAAATTTTTCTCAGAAAACATCCAAAAGCTTCAGAATTTTTTCAAAAAGAGTTCATCACTTCCTCGAAACCTTAAAAGCTATTCCATAAGCCTAAAAATTTTTACATTTCTTTTTTTACCGAAAAGACCTCCCCCAGCCCTTTTCCCATCAAAACCTTTCATTTTAATCGCTTCGCGGCACAAATTTCCTCTTGATTATTTTGTATTGTTTTAATTTTATTACTTATTGCCATTCCCCAAACGATCCGGTAGAACTCCCTTGTCATTCCAAAGAACTTGAAAAACTCAAAGATCTCAAAAAATTTGAAAACCGAAGAACTTAGCCAAGCTTTACCCGAATTTCAGGTATTTGATTGTATTGATCTAGTCATTTTTTGCAAATCCTCAAAAAAAAACCGACAAATTTTCGATAAACTCAGCTTTTTCCTGCTCAAACTTTGCGTTGAAAACCCCGTGCTTTTCATTTTTCCTTTCCATTGATTCTACTTCGCTTTTGCTTCAATAGATTTCTATATTTCATTTTTTTTTTGTGTGTAATTTTTATTGTACGATTGACGAGCAGTACTTGGTGCTACCTTGTATAAAGTTCTTTATATTTGTGTATTTTTTTCGACTTTTTCTCGAAAAAAATTCGTATTTTGTTGTTCATTTTTTTGCCGCTTTTTCCATGCTGAATGAAATTTTTTTCTTCTTGATTTTTTTAGAGTATGAAAAAAACATACCAAAAATTTTTTTGGAGTTTCATTCCTGTTCTTTATATCGAATTCATTGTTGCAAAACGATCAAAGGGTTGAAAATTGCATGATAGGCCAAAAAAACCGGGAAAAAAACTCAAAAACAAAAATTCAGGAAAATAAAGATGAAACGTATCGTTTTTTTTCATACTTTTGTACTTTTATGAGCTATCTAGACTAAAAAGAAGATAGAAATAAAGCTGAAAGAATGAAAAAACATCAAAAAACCGATAACAAAAATATCATCTTACAGAAAAAAAAAAATTAAAACCGCCCAAGCGCCAACGGCGTCACGGTGCGTACACAAGTATTGACTACAGTAGCCCCAAAATTCTTTCCGTTTCTTCAAAACTGAACTTCCGGCTCTTTTCAAGTTCAAATTCGAATACTTTCCGATCAATTTCGGAATCAAATAAGAAAAAAAGGACCGGAAAGCTTTCTCCCGTTGGAGGAGCCGGACCGGCGCCGGAAACACGATACTCACGGCACTTGAGATTCGTTTTTCTTGTCTTCTTTTTTCTTGTTGAAATATAAGGTTTTCACTTGACGTTCACGTACCCGTAGTTGATTTGTGGGTGCTTCATTTTTCAAAATACATTCATTTATTCTTCTTTTTAAAAAAAGCGTCCCATATTTATTCATACAGTAAGAGGTCCACAAAAAAATCATTTTGAGGAGGAAAGTTTAATTTTCAACTTCGAACTTTTTTAATAAATTCCTAACTAGCAAATGCCTTATTCTCTAACTTTCACAGTTAAAGTTAGCTGAACCGCTCTTCGAACTGGTTTTTTTCGCCCCGTTGTTTTCTCCCTTGAACCGTTCAACTTCACTCATCTCATTAACTTTTCCTAATTGGCTCTCATTTCTTGGAAAGTCTCGCCCAGTCTTCAGGGTTGCAATACCTTCAAAAGTCCTTAAAAGGGTGCGAAAAGCTTCTTTTAACCTGCTTTTTTTTAGATTTCCAAGGGTAAGAGCCTTACTATCGGCTTCTTACTAGAGAAGGATTTTCACCCCCCTTCCCTCCTTCCCCGGTTGAACTTTTGGTGAAACTTTGCTGAAGTGTACTTTCAGGCCTCCTGATTGCAGAACAAGCAAAAAAGAAATGTTCGCAATAGATCTTATCTGTTATGAAGCTTGAAAGTCTTCAAAATAAGCAGATTATGACAAAAAGCGCTATTTCGGGATTTTTAAGCGTCTCAACTCGAAAACAAGATCTATTGCGAGAAATTTTTCTTATTCTGCAATCAAGTACGTCTCTTGTTGGTCATTTACTTCCCAAAAAAATGTTAGCCTTCTTCTTAAAAATACTATTTCATCTTCTCAGAAAGGAGCTACGAAGATCCTTCGAGATTTTTTAAATTTCCTTTTCTTCTTAAAGGTCTCCATTTCAACGTTTTCTTATTACCCAACACCAAAAATACTCTTCAGAACTTGTTCTTGCCCAGTTTTGTAATCCAATTTCCGCCCATACATATTTCCATCATCGAGGTCATGTTTGCCGAGTATAATTTCTATTATATGTGTGGGCCTCCCGACGAGACCTCCTTCTGATATTTGCCCCCTTATCTCTCCGGTATATCAGTCCGATCAAACATTCTCTAATATCCTCGTCTTTTCCCATCCATCCTATACATCCATTCCCATTTCTAAGAATTGGAAAAAGGCAAATGGATTAGCTTTTATGCATATAGCGAGTTTCGGCCATTGTGTACGTTAACTTTTTTTGTTCTCTCCCTTCCGCGATTCTCCTTCCATTTTCCCTTATTGAACCTGAATCTGGCTTGAAGATAGCAACTTCAATGAGGGTTTCATTGTCAGAAGACGGGTTGGAATGAGTTTTTGGCCTAGAATGTCAATTTTTTGAAGTGATTACGGTTTTTTGAGGTTCTTCGTATCCATACATAGGCAGATCTTTTAAAAGATCCCCATCATATTCTTCTTTTTTTAAAAAATTGAAGTCGTCATTATCATCCCTGAGGTTGAAAAATCGTTCTTATTGTTGCCTACACAATCTCCATGGTCTTTACAATATTTTTTTCGTTGTTTGGTAATATTAGGTAAGTTAACCCCTCCTTTTTTTCTTCCTTCGCCCCGCTTGAGCGGCGTCGGCGCCCCATGTGAAGGGGGGGGTTCCTTGATATCAGTGATAATCAGTAAACTGGCTCTAGTGACGTACCCGTCCTTGGGTTTGACGGCTGGGGATTTTTGAAGTCAACCCCTCCTGGACCAAATCCGTTTTTTAGTTGTCCGTGTGTGTTTGTATTAATTCGTGACTATTTTCCAATATTCTTCGTCCAATTTGCATTTTAATAAGTTTCATTCATTACGACTTAAGTTAGTTTGAACTAGAACCATGAATTTCCCTACCAATCAGCGATTTTTTTTTTTGTTTTCATCATCTCATTTCTCTCCAAACGTTCAGTTATCGGATTCTTCTCAATGTTTACATAGAGCACTTGAAAATCGTTCTTTTTCCTGCCGTTTTTTTTGTGTTCTTGTTTTTTTATTAATTTTTATTTAAACTAGAGGAAGTGGAGAATCGAAGAAGAATTAAGTCCACCCTCCAAAATTACATCGTTATAAGGTTTATAGATCTTTCTAATTTCTAAAAAAAGCGTACAGTTCGAAGTAGAGCGGTTAAAGTTAGCTGCGCGCAAACCGTTTCAAGGTCGGATGCATAATATTAATGACTGATTTGCAGAACAATTTTCATTTTTGACCGATCTTTAAGCTAGACAGTAAAATCAATGATATTTCAACTACCCGTTAAAGAGTAAATCGACCATGAAAAGAAAAAAAATTGTGGAAATTTCCATCTTCTGGCAAAGGGAAAGGGCCACTTGAGAGATAGCAGCTTTCCACTTGAGGAAGTTCAAATCGCGCGGTTTTTGGTGGCTTTTCCGCTCCTTGATCCGCCGCTTCTCCCCCACTTCAAATAGAGAAACTCTTCACCTTGACAGCCTTTTCGACCCTTTTTTTTCGAGACTTTTGATGGCATTTTTCCGGTTTTATTTCAATCCTAAGTCTGTTCGAATTTGGAAAAGGTATATTTCTTCCGATTTCTGGTTATCGATTGATCATTTGTTGTTCACTTCCTTTGATGATATCAAAGTTGGGTCAACTTCTAATGAAAACATTGGAATTGGCTGAGAAAACGAGTTGATTGATGACTCTTTCTTCACTGGGCGTTCCCTTGAAACTAATCATGGGAGTTGTGAATAGTTATTAATCCTCTAGGAACAGTGATAATCATTCTTCTGCCTTTGTTTTTGGTCCTTGTTCCGTATATAAAATCTAATCTAATGCGTTTTCATTTGAACAGAATTTATAAATAATCATCGTCATCGTATGGAAAAATGGTAGTCATGTTTTCAATGTGTTTTGTTGATATTTAGGATAGAAACGACCCATTCAGTGGCTTTTTTGAAGTCATCTTCAAAAAAGTCACTGAATAAACCATTTTATAAATCCTCAGCTTCGTTAAAAACTCATAGTCGCACGTAGAATGGCTCAAAGCGTCGCGGTCGCGTCGCGTTTAGAAACCGATTTTATTTATACGATAACCCTTTCTCATGCCTATTTTTGGTCGCATAGAAAAAAAGAACCATTGGTAGTTCAGTGGAGCGCGTTTGTTCAAACTGTCAAACTAACAATGAATGGACTAATTTTCATTTTTTTTTTCTTCTTTACTCATCTTGGCTTTTTTCAGTCGAAACAGGAAGAAATTTGACCCAAAAGTTCTTCTCTCTGTTTTATCAAACTTTTTCTTCTGAACTAGCCAAGTTTGGGGAAGCTTCTTAGTACAAAAAAAAAAGGGGGAAGCTTTTTAGTACCAATATCGAACTAAAGTTCAAAAAAAGAGCCAAAAAAAGAGCAGTTAATGACCTTGGGAAACTCAACGAAAAGGCGCGGAAAATTGACCCTCGTCCATAATATTTTTTGCGGTGTCGTCGTTTTTAATGGCCTCCA